TCCCTAAATCATGATCCCACTAGGAGCAAAGGGGAACCAAAGGCACCTCTTTCCATATGTCCACTTCTCCTAAACTGGTAGTTCAAGTTGCCACCTACAGGAGTTCTCATGGCACAGACAACTATGTAACTTTTTATTACTTCAAAACTTCATTTGTCATTCTTGGTCAGAAATTATTGTTTTGTTTTTTTTTTAAATAAAGACTTGTCTCTGACAAGGGTAGAATGTTAGAATGCAGGCATTAGCAGCCTTCTTAAAACCCTGTTGGGGGTGGTGGAGGAGGGAGTGTGTTTAACCTGGCTTCTTCCCGAGGATTTTTGGGGGGTGAGGTCACCAAAACGGGCCTATCTCCAACCAGTTCCCAGAATGCTTATTTTCAGTGTTACTTAAGTTGTCTTTTTTTCCTGATGTGGAAGAAAGGGAATGATAGAAGGAAGCAGCAGTTTGACAGTAAGACCACATACAAAAAAGGACATTAGTAGTCACCTTTAAAACAGCCAAATTTTTCCACTAGGAACCTTCACCTGGGTTAAACTATCAACCTTGGAGATGACTTAGAACAGCCCAGACCTTGTGTTATTTTTGCAGCCAAACGCTGCCTTCACAGAAAATTTTACTTCACTATGTAGTAAAACAAAGATCTCAGAAACTGCACTTTGTCCCCACCCCCTTATCACATCAAATAATAACAAATGAAAGATTCAAATGAAAGTGGTTATAAATTTTAAATATTTAGAATTACTTCTAAGATGAATCCAATCACATAAATGAATACAGGTCTGCTATAGGCCTAGAACTTGAGATCATATTCTGATAACATATTTACCTTAAATTATTCATTGCTATGTCATTGGCCACATCTTTTTTTAAAGTCTGAAAACAGGCTTAAATTTTCCAGTGTACACATAAAAAAAGGTGGGGGGGAGGGAACAAGCCAGCAGACTAAGTACCAGAAGGCCTATCTAGGTTCAAGTCTCTGCTCTGCTCTAATTAGACCTTAAGCATCATTTTACCTGTGTAGGCATCAGCGTCTTCATCTGCAGCAAAGGGTTCTTAACCTGAGGTATACAAACCTTCAGATTTCAAGGGAATATTCTTATTAACTTCTAATTAATATTTAGAATTTTCTTAAATTACTTAAATACCTTATCCTGAGATGGAGTTCATAGGCTTCCCAAAACTGTCCAATATGTGCCATTACACACACAAAAAGGGTTAAGAACCCCTAATCTAAATCCTACTAAAATCCTACACTCTTTAGGATTTATGACTTAAAAGGCCTAGACATCAATGTAAAATTGTTTAAAATGTATTCTGAGAAAATAATGCAAATGTCCCCAATTCTATAGTTTTTTAGCTTGTGGTTGGAGTAGGTGAATGTGAAGGTAGGAAATTAACAGACCACCTCTCAAACCTTGCTACCCATTTGTAACTACAGGCTAAGGCGCCAAAACATTTCATATTAACTGTTTTCTTGGCAACAGTATTCCTCCAATGGTGATTTTGGCATCCAGGATCATATCAACCACCAAAAATTATTGGTCCTGATAACAAGTCTCCTAACTCTTTGGAAATGACCAAACAAGTAGGCTTATACCTTCAAGATAAATACCAAGGAAGAGAATTCTCGAGCTCCAGAGAAACATCCTTATTCAAGGATGAAAAATATCAAAATGTGCCAACTGGAACCAACAGTATTTCATGTGAAAATGCTACAAGTACAGTTCAGAAACAATGATTTGGAGGAGGGAATGGCCACTTTCAATAGAAATTTATATTCTTCAGCAAGAGGCTGCAATAGACTAGGACAATATCTGACACAAAATCATTGCCATCGATGTCACTCTGTCAACTGTCATTGCCTGATGGGGGAAAACCCTATTCCCACCCTAATCTGAAAAATGGTAACGAGTAGATCTACAGTTGTTAACTGCGGAAGAATCACAAATAGAAATTATCAAATATAATTTTTTTCAGCTGTCTTTTTTCTTCCCCAGTATCCCTCAACTTTCAGAGTAATTTAATCCACCATGCCAACAGGCACTCTCTGGAGCCCACCTAAAAAGAGGCAGAGTTAAAGAAGAATTTTTTTGGGAGAGGCAATCGGGGTTAAGTGACTTGCCCAGGGTCACACAGCTAGTGTCTAAGTCAATGTCTAGCTGCCCCTAAAAAAGAAAATTTTAAAGAATAGGAATGAGCCTAATTGCTCACTTCCCCTCTTCCTACTTCTTGCTCTGGGCACAGTGATCACCACCCTCCTATGTTCATTATTTTCCAGTACCTAGGACATTGTAAGTAAGTGCTTAATAAATGCTCTATCTTTGAGCAGAGCTAGTTGGGGCAATGGAAAGAGCTCCAGCCTTGGAGTCAGGAGGACCTGAGTTCAAATCAGACCTTAGATATTTGACACTTACTAGCTGGGTGACTCTGGGCAAGTCCCTTAAACCCAATTGCCTCACCAAAAAGTTAAAAAAAAAAAAAAAAGCCTTCCTCCTTGACAGCAAGGGCCATCTCACTTTGTATCTGTATCTCCAGTGCCCAATATATACTAAGCCTTAATAAGCACTTTTCATTCATTCCTTGTTATTTCACTCAATTACTAACAGTGTGACCTTGGGCAAATCACACTTATCCTTGTGAGACTATAATAGGTGAATGGTTGTGGAGGGAAGCAGGGAGGCTGAGCTAACCCTAAACTTTGCCACAGTACACTAAAAGAGCCCTGGACCAGTAGTCAGCAGAATTAGCTCTGGTCTCACCACTTACTGTGTGATCTTGTCACTTATTCTCTGTGCCTCAATTTTCTCATCAGTAAAATGGATGTAACAGTTAACTTTTTTGCTTCACAAAGCTGTTACTGAGAAATAAAGAGATGTCAAAGTGCTCTGAAAACTGTAAATCACCACACTGTAAAGGAATTATTCCTTTGTACAAGGCACTGTCGTAGGTGTCGTGGGAAGATTTCCAAGATGCCTAAAAACTGAGGCTACCTTGGAGCTTAACTGCTGAGATAAGAGGTACCACCTAACAGGTAAATATAATAGTAGGCAATGTGTGAATACCAGAAGAGTAAGTAACAATTAACCAATTAACTAATGTTTACGAAGTTTCTAGTATATGCCAGGTCCTGCTAATACAAAGACAAAGATGTCAGAGTCTCTGCCTTCAAGGAGAAGGCACACAAGCATATATAAAAATAAATAGAAGGTAAATGTTTTGGGGGCAGGCGCTGGCAGTTAAGAAGAACAGTCTTTAGAAAGTCAGATTTGAGCTGAGCTTTGAAGGAAACTAGGAATTCTAAGACAGAGATGAGGGAGCAAAGAATATATGTTTTAGGAGGAAGGAAATCCTTTCTGAGCAAAAAGTTTGATAAATAACAATTCACAAATAAGAGCCTTAGCCACTCACTAGCTTCAGAAAGCCAAGAAGTAGCTGTGATTTTCAGGAAAACTGGGTCTATTACCTCACATCAGCCCCAAACAATTATCCCTACTCAACAAAAATAAATCAACACTAGAAGTGAAATGACTTAGTATACATATCTATACTAAGTAGCAGTTAGTATTCAAGATCCCCACAGATGTATACTAAGTAGCAGTTGGTATTCAAAGCAAGTCTCCAGACTTAAGTTCAGGGCTCCTCCCATTGCTTCAGGCTTCCCAAGTAAACGGAGGGAGGGGATTGTGGATTGGCTCTACTACTTTCATTCTAACTCTCAGCTTTGCAATAGTTTTAGATCTGGTATGACTAGTCCACCTTCCTTTGCATTTTTTATTTCATTAATTCCCTTAATATTAACTTCTTGTTCTTCCAAATGAAATATTTTTTTTAGCTCAGTAAGTTTTGGTAGCATGGCATGGCACTTATTAAATAAATTTAGGTAGAATTCATTTTTATTATATTAGTTTGGCGTACCCATGAACAATTTATATTTCCCCAATTTTTTACATCTAACTTTGTATGAAGTGTTTTGCAATTGTGTTCATGCAGTTCCTGGGCTTGTCTTGGCAAGGAGACTCCCAAATATTTCATACTGTCCAATTATTTTAAATGGAATTTCTCTATCTCCTGCTGCTGGGTTTTGTTAGTATTATATGGAAATACCAATGATTTATATGGGTTTACTTCATATGCTGCAACTGCTAAAATTGTTAATTATTTCAAATAGTTTTTAGTTGATTCTCTAAGTAAACCATCATATCCTCTGCAAAGAGTGATAGGCTGGTTTCCTCACTGCCTATTCTAATTCCTTCAATTTCTTTTTCTTCTCTTATTGCTAAA